TGCTTACGCCTCAAGCTGCGCAGCTGTCCCAATTACTACCTCTCTCTTCTCCACTAATTTCCCCTCCGTACCCATCTGCCTCTTCTACACTCCAAATCTCTGTCCCATCCATCCGTAGATGCCACTAGCGTGGGTTTGTACTTTCAGGAGGCTCCCATGCTAGAAAGAGCCCTTTAGCAAGCAAAGTAGGTCCAGATCCCATTTTAAGTTAGACGCTGTAGGGTGCATAAGACTCAGACAGTGCAGTATCTTGTCAGGCAGAATCTTTAGCGGCATCCCCGAATCCCTCCAGCCCTTCATGCCTGCACTGATCCTGGCCTGAGCTGTGGACTCGGAGGGGCTGACAAGGCTGTTTGATGGGCCATGGGCACTGAGCATTAGGGGATTTTGTGGGTAGGTGGGTGGGTGGTTGGCAGGGATGGGGGGGCGCTGTTTGCGTCCCACAGTGAGTCCCTCAGCAACTTCTGATGAGCTAAAAATTCTCAGTGTGTGTCATACCCATGTGAATTCAGTTCCTCATGCAGAGGTACGCCACAAACTTCACTGCATTCTTCTTGTCATGGTGCTAAGCATTCACAGAGATACGGTAAAAAGAAATCAAGAATAAATACACAGACACATATATATGCATATTCAGAGACAAATTAATGCAAAGGCACGCGGGAGGGTGTGCAACAAGGAAGTTAAGTGCTTCCTATTGAATAGGGGGGAAAAAAGGAGAAGGAGAGAATTTAAGAGCTGCATGTGGATGGGTACATGCCTATTTCTGGACGGCTCCAATGAGCCGAGAAGAAATGTCGTAAGACCCACTTCCCTGCTCAGGCTGCAGCAGCAATAACTCCCCAAGATACAGCAAAAGCAAGCACACATAAGTGAATGTGCACACACACAAATACACATCCTTTCTGATGTGAGTGCTCTGCAGGCTGGGCAGCCTCCCTGCAGGGCCAAACAGAGCAGAGGCAGCACACTCTTTGAGGGGGAGTCCAGGTCAGGATCTCTGACTGGTCTACCCCTCAACCCAAAACAAATACACATTCACACAACCTCCAAACCCACCCAAGATGGCTAAGGCTAAGGCATAATGTGATCTAGAGTCCAGTCCCTACACAAATCCAATCTGATGCCACATGGCTATCAGGCCAAGCTCCTATTGTGCCTGTCTGACTGAATTCCTATTCAGAATTGCCCTCCTTCCACCCTGTCTTTAGACATTCAGCTGAGTAAGACAGGTAGACAAGCAGCAAGACATTTAGACAGGCAGACAGCAGGGCAAGCCTGCTGGGGCCTTTTCTTTTTCTGCTGCCGGAGAATGCTATCAGCCTGGATCAGGCTAGGCTGCTCAAGCTGAGCTTCAGCAGCCTCACAGCCTGGCTCGCTTTTCTCCATGGAAACCTGCCCCACACTCGCCCTGTGATTGGTTGGTACGATCACTAGACAGACACTCTGTCTTACAATACAGATAATAATGACCCTCCGGTTGGATGAGAGCAAGAGAAGAGTGATGGCAGACAGGCCTTTTTCCTACAGATTTTGCCCTTTAGAAAGGCTGCATTCAGCAAGCTTACAGGAAACTCGAGACTACAGGTATGTTCCTGCACAGGATATACAGTTGGTTAGCTCTACAGTCCTTACTCTAATGCACGAGGGTTGGGGTTAGGGGTTAGAGGGTTTGAGGAGACAGAAAACCGACATTAAACACCAATCATGAAAAATACCTTCAGTCTTTAATTTAATAAGACTTAGAGATGCATGTGTGTGTCCATATATCCATATGTAAACCTTTCAGTCTTTACCCTCCTCAAAACAGAAACAACAAAAGCAAAAGCTCCTTTTCAGCAGCTTCTGTTCTATTTACAGTACATTGTCTGGAAATGGGGAGCAGAAATACCCTGCACAGAGATGAACAATACCAAAAAAAAAAAACAATGCTTCCAGATGAGCTTCCTCTTTTGGTAGTATTGTTACTGCAGCTTGCTACAAGCATTTCCGTATCTTGCATAGCCTCTTCAATTCAATGTTCTTTGTGTTTTTAGCATGAAGCCCCCAAACTAGGGAACATGTCTTCAAATGTGTTGTTTGGTTCCTTCATAGCTCAATTCAGCCTTCTCTTCTCATCCGTCTGACATTTTCAGAAAAAACAAAAAGGATATATCTGGGACAACAGTTCGCAAAAAAGCAATGTATAAACAGCCCACTGAAGCCAATATCAAGCATTACACACACACTGTACAGTGGGCCAAAACACTGTGATGCTTGAAATTACAATGGCTTTTCATGCAAACAGAGGCACTTGCTGTGCAGGTGACAGGCTCGTATTGCAGACAGAATTGAAATGAAAAACAAATCCAACTGCTATTTTAAATAAAACTCCACTTGGCAGTGGCTTGCTGCGCTAAACCAAACAGAGAAATGGAGCTTGCCACGTGACAAATCGTGCACAGTGCTAAATACAGATAAAATTATGAAACACCGCCCATTTTTGCTCACCGCACCGCATCTAACCTCTTTGGCAGAGCAACACTAATATGTTTAATGAACTCATTAGTCAGAAATGAAGACAGACAGTGGCATGGAAGGCAGAAGCACAAAGGGCAGAGAGAGAGAGAGAGAGAGAGAGGGAGGGAAACGAAGGAAGGGGAAAGACAAAATTGACCAGCTCAAGTGTGTGTGTGTGTGTGTGTGTGTGTGTGTGTGTGTGTGTGTGTGTGTGTGTGTGTGTGTGTGTTCTCTAGAAAGCACATTCTCCTGTATTATAGATGCAGTGTTACCGTAGCTACATGGTAGCAACATTTGTCCGATGCAATCAACTCAACAAGCAGAAACAACACAACCTGGAAGGCATTGTGCAAAAAAAACCTTCAAACCTGCCAAGTAAATTTCAAGGGTTAGTTTGAATGTTATCACTACTATTTAATTTAGGTGCTTCATCAAAAACTACAGAGACTGGAATGAACTGCTCTAATGTAATTATTTGCACTTGGCTGATATAAAACGGTGAAGCCCAGATCACAGAAATTTGTTGCCAAGGCATGAGTCACTTTGCTTTATGTAAAATAATTGGCCCCTGACAGTTTAAAACAGAAGGGGAAAAAAAAAAAAAGGGGGGGGCGTCAATCTGAAGCGGCACATTACTCGCCAATGGAATCCAAGATAGAGTTCCCCCTGCCATGGCCTAGACTGCTGTCACAGCAATATATATGGCTGTTTACTTATTCATGAATGGGTTAAGGCTACTAACTCAATCAATCTGCTTCCAGTTACCAAGGCTGACTTTATTAGATAACATTAATGATGCATTAGTAGTCCATAGGTGTTCAGTTTCTCCCTTGTCAGCAACTACAATTCAAATGAGAACACAATGTATATTGGCTGCAAATGGATCAGAACTTGGGGATAATTGCGGCGCTATACAACACTACGAGCTAATAATTTGTGGTCTGACAACATGCTGTCAAAGAAAAGATAAATCACAGCATGCTTCACAGAGATGATATATGTCTTGTAACATCAGCTGCAGACATTCAGTGATATGAAAAACTAGAAAAGCCATACGTCATCCATATCACAAATTGATTTTTTTTCGCGTGAAAGCAATAAGACTTATTTTACATTGAATCTGTCATATTAAATGAGATTAAAAAGTGCCTTACAGTATTCTGTTCCTTCACATGCTCTGACTTCGGCTTCAGCTGTGAGATCATGACAATACTACACCCATTCATTCAATGGGCTGTGCATTCATCACCATTTGGTGGCACTTTCACATCACTGTGACGGCATACATCTTCTAATGGGTGCTGCTGCTGCTGCTGCTGCTGGGGATTGAACCTCTGTGGTGTTACCAGCACTGACGCCAGACTATATCAGTTGAGCTACACTGAACACAGACACCCCCCCACACACACACACACACAGCCTGTGTATATGGGTGCTGCCATCTATATTATCGGTCAGCTGTAAAAGTGTACAGGAAGGGATGGGAAGCAGAAGTCACCCTGGCTGGCTCCCACTTTTGACTGTCCTGGTGCGATGAAGGGGGGGGCTGAGCAGGGCCGTTTCATGTCCTAATCACATATCAGAAAGGCCTTATTACACATTAACCACACCTCCAGATACTGAAAACAAACGCACGCCTGGCTGTGGTGATTATTACAAAGCAATTCCTGATACAAGCAGCAGAGCACTGAGGCTGAAACACAGGCAGCTGCTTTGTCTGCTCTCCGACACACATAACACACAATGACAGAGAGAGAGGTGGACGGGAAACACTCAAGGATACACACAAGTGTCAAACACCCCCAATATGTCATGTGTGTGTTTTGTTTTTAACGTTATGTGTGCGATGTTAAATGCATTTCTATCCTCGCTCAACGGCGAGGGCTCACTATATATATACATATATATATATATAAATATAACGCTGCACGGTAAACACAAAACAAACGCACACAAGACAAGACAGCTAGCTTAATAGGCTACACGCTTCTAGCTCTGTTGATGCCTTTAGCCTTTAAATAAAAGAAAGGAGGGCTGCCAAATGAACACCTACTTTTACCACCACCCGGTTCATTCATACGGTTCAGTCCAGGTAATGCTGCGGTTTTTAAATCGGTAGGTTTCAGGCTAACTACCGCGGTCGTTACGCGGATAAGCGGTAAATTGTTTTTGCCCACTTGCTTCTTCTCCACACACACACACACACACACACAAAATAAAAAACGCGGGTCAGGTTTCTATGGATGTAACGAAAGCCCACGTATAAAGCGACACATACCTCTAAAGCAGAGCAACAACAAAAAAAAAAAAATGTCCGGGTAACGGCGCCGATATAACGGGACAAGAAATTCCTACCTACCGTGACCGCTATTTGGTCACCGTGATCTCAGCAGCGACGCAGTCAACAGGCCGGGATGTAGCAGGAGGGGGAAACCTATGGGTTGAGCACTGCCTCCGTAGCTCCTACATTTCCGCCATGCAGCAGGGTTGTTATCACCTACCTTGGCATGGTACACCGGCTTCCAGCGGCATCCGACCGGAGGGCTGCGGAGGCTGGGTCTGACGCAGCGGCAGCCGAGAGTTGTTGCTCCAGGAAAAAAAAAAAAAAAATTTCGAGTAAGAAAAAAGGCTGCGGCGGAAACAGGAACTGGGAGAGCTGGGATCTCTGAATACGGCAGTCGAGGCTGCTCTGTGCTGGATGGCCGGTGTCAACGCAGACCTGAGAGAGAGAGAGAGAGAGAGAGAGAGAGAGAGAGAGAGAGAGAGAGAAAGGGAGGGAGGGGGGGGACTTCATATCCGGTCACAAATTTTCAAATTAATAGGGAGTGTGGTGACACAAGTACAGTAACTCATATTTCAGTGTTTCCGGTATCAACAGCTAGAGTTTAGATACATTTTTTAAAAACTCTATAAATATAAACCAATGGCTGTGGTCTGAGTTTGAACTCTAAGTTAAATGTCTGATGATTGTACTATACTTTTTTTTTCTCTATAATTCTTTGTTAAGCTTAATTTAGGTGTTTTGGGGTATATTTAACCTTATCTCTACTAATAAATATATTTATTTCCTTTGTTAAATTTGGGGCTATTATTTTACTATACAGCTATTTTTATTGTCAATCATTTTTCCTACTTATATTGATTATATGTTTAATTTCACTCTTAAATATCTTGAATATATGTAGACCTATGTCTGATGAGCTTTAAAAGTGCTATACAAATAAACCCGCCATTCCTTTTCTGTGTACGGATCTAGACACTACACTAAATACAGTAGCTGTATTTTTCACATAATTACCTACAATTTGTTTAGTAGTGAATCATCGGATCATTTATTTTGAAGGGCGGTCTGATTTCCTGATTGGGCCTGGTTCTCTCTGGCTTACTTGACTCTGGCTGGTGCAGACCCTAATGGGAGAAGGATGGAGTGGAAGCTGCAGTGCGCACACCAGTGTCAGGTTGTTGTACTGCAGTCGGGCTCATAGACAGACAGACCTGGTGCCACCGGGGCGATGGAGGGTACAACCCCCCCCCCACCGAGGAGTGACACTCTCCTTGACCTTCAGACTGGCACAGCAGAGCCTCTCAGACACCATCATACAGCCTCAAGTAGCCTTCAGTGCTCACTCATATCAGCAGTGATCATGTTACCTACCCCTTCCCAAGAGCAGCTCCTGTTGCAAACCTCTAAGATTACTGCTTGCATATTCTCTTTCCTCATCATGATCAGCATATTTCAATTCTGTGATCGGAGAAACCAGATAGCTTATATCCAATTTTTTTTATCTTGGTTGATAAACTCAGTGCTGTTGGGAACATGTCAACACAGACGAAACAAACTTTTTTTTTCACCAGGTGGAAGAGACTGGGGATTCATGTTAGCCTGTGTCGCTGCTCGGATCCTCAGATCAGATAGATGTATGACGTAAACATTTTATATTTATCTGTTAATCAGAACTGAGTGGTTTCTTAACTACATGGCATACAGAAAAGGGCGTATCTTTCTTGTAGGGCATTGGTTTCAAGATTCAAGATTCAAGAAGCTTTATTTATCCGGAGGGAAATTACTGTGCAACAGTTTCAATACAAAGGTGGTAAAGTAAAGTACTACAGGGTTAGAGTAAAAATAAGCTAACATAAAATAAAATAAAATTTAAAAAAAGGGTTACATAAAATAAATCAAACAATTAACTAAATGCAACAAAATGCGAGCACTTACAGGTAACATAAGTAGAAAAGAAGAAAACAAGTAACTAAATGTGACAAAGTGCAACAAAAATTGCAGTTAAACGTAGGTACAGTATATACAATATACAACAATACCCACCGGGCAGTTTAGCAGCATAAATTGAAATAAAATAAGTACAAACTAAGTAAACTAAGTTTGATTGTAATCACCGTTTGAGTATAACTTACAATGTTTATATAATCATGGGGTGTGTGAAACTATCACTGTGTGATCCTTTGCAGCTGCTCTGGTTTGTGGTTAGGGTTAGATGTCACGGCATGTAAAGGTGACATTAAGGTTAGGGTTAATCCTCAGGAAACATCATTGCAATGCCTGCAAAAACAAGCTTGTCAGGTAGAAAAAAAAAAGAATGAAAGTGAAAGTGCTATTTTAATGGTTCGAAAGAAAGTTTTAAAAGCAGATGATTTCATTACCTAAAGCCTAAAGTTAAACAAAATATGTGCAAGGTTAGATACTTGTTGTAAGAGCAATTACACCATAACAGCAAAAACAAAAATGTAGAAAACATATAGCCGAACTAGGAGTAAATTAAAGAGTAGTATAAGAGCAGTGAGTTGTCATTCCCAGAATAAGTAACGTACAATTTATTGGATGAATATGAGCACTGAACACCAGCCTTCTAAAATGCAGTTTACGACTCTGCACATGTCAGCTTTTTGAGAAGTAAATTATTATACACTGTACAAAGGACATAATTCTGGTGCAAAGCCTATCTATTTACGCTTGTAAATAGTGCACCTGAGTGGAGAAGTCATCAGTTAATAACAAACCTCTGCTATAAAGGCTGGACACATTCCTGCTCAGCAGTCTTCCTGTGGAGACCTGCTTATTCAGTAATTCACTGTCATGGTTCAGATTATCTGACTTTCATTTTAATTTGAGCTGGTCAACTTTATACGGCAGAGAAGTTCATTAATTTTAAACTGACTCAACAAAGACACATTCCCTATATGCTTTTTCATGTCAGTACTCTTTTGCCGTAGAATATTAGTGCAATAGTTTCATTTGAGTATGCATAAACATCCATTTAATCCTCAGAAACTGACCTCAGTCATGGTCAAGTATGTTTCCAAACAAAAGTAAAGGAACAAGAAGCCAAGGGCTGTGTGTGTTAGTGTGTGTGAATGCTGAGAAACTGTAAGCAGGCTTTCAGGTCGCCCTTGAACATGTTATTTACTGTACCACTCTCTTTGAACTGCTGTATATGGATGTTTTCCTACCACCCGTTTACAGTCTCACTTGAGAATTAAGCCTCTAAATCTAATTCATAATACCCAAAGGCTTTTCATTTGTTGTTGCTTCTCCATCCATCTTTGAAAAATACCCAGCGTGCCTCTGAGAGGTCTCACTCCGGTGGTGAGGAGCTGAATCACAATAACAATCCCCACCTATATTTGGTACACACATATTTTCCACTTTAACTAAGCAGCCTTGACTCCTATAGGTGGTGCAGTAGTGCCATCATGTGGTACAAAGGCCACAGTGTGCAGGCTGTGAGAGGGGAGGGGATAAACCAGTCTGAGGCATTCCCCTAGTAGTGTAGATGTTAGTTCAAAGAGAAAATATGAGTCAGAAGACCTTTCAATGTAGCTTCATCAACCAGGAAAATGACTCATGGTTCAAATAGTCACATACTTGTCGTTGGCCCGCAAAACACCAACTGTACATGCACTGATGCAGAGCAACACCTGCCTCTCCAACCTTCCCAACCACACACACAGCAGAATTAGTCAGTCAGCAGGGATAGCATCATCAGTGTTGTTCAGGTCGATCACTCCTGACCTTTTTGTCTTTGCTGACCTTTTCAGATTGAGACACTGTGGAAGATTTTCTAAAGGAGAACATGTGAACTCTATTCACCTGAAGGAAATGCTGGAGTGGAATGACACAGGACCAATATGGAGGGGATATGGAGTATCAAGTGTGTGCTACTGCAGCACATATGCACATGTAGCCTGATAATCAGACTGAACTGGCTTTTTTGTTGGAAAAATGAATAAAAAATCAGACATGTGGGCAGCGATTCAGAGGTCTGAAAGGAGGTTAGAGCAAATGCATATTGGGCCAAGTGTCACTTTTCATGTCACGATATGCATCTAATGCTATGAAACAGAAACAAAATGGAACAGAATAATTAAAATATCATTAGAGTTTCATTAGAATATCATTACCATATTAATTTGTAACACTTGCGAGAAAGAATGTGTTGCGTCATCACGCCACTTACATTAAAATGTATTCTGTACTACAATACATTTCATGAAATGCATGACACATTTTAATGAAGAAATATATTAAATGTAGTCTAAGATCTTAGATTCATGAGATACAACTGCAACGTCTCTAATTAAATTCTGGCCAGGGAGTTTTGTGGTTGAAGAGCCTTTTGGGGATTGTAACATCAGAATTCAAAAGACATGGTTAGCACTGCAAGATCTTGCAAGCTTGTACTCTTTACACAAAACAATTCCTGGAGTTGGGGAATTAGTTCAAGGTTCAGTACCTGGAGGAATATCAATAGATTGGAATATTTACTATGATCCAACTGTTAATATTGTAAGATTGATTAATGTGTGGGGCACTGGCACTGAGATAAACTGAAGCATTAGAAAATGTAGTATTTTTAATGTCTACATGGCATTTGTAGCTTATCAAAACGAGGATGAATTACTGGCTTCTATGAATTGTTTCACTGAGGATATAACACAACCTGCATTTATGTGATTTGCAGAAACCTCAGACAATAATTTGTTGTCTATTCAGTAAAGTATTGTTACCTGTAAATAGTTTTACACTGTGAAGATACATATAATAGTATTGGCTTGACTCCCCTATATAACGTAGAGATTTACAGTATTACAGGATGGCTACTACAGACCATATGATTATTGCTATGACAGTTACTTGCATAATTTATTGAACAATAGCAAAAGTGTGAGGCTTGACTATTCTGGCCTTAGTGAAAAACAATGTAAATTAAGTATGTCAGGCAACCTGAGCTACTCTTGAATAGCATACTGGTATGTAAAATATACAGTATTATACATAGTTGGAATAAGCATTTCAAAAGTATTGTACTGTATGTGCTAGAGTCTTGAATTTCCCTCAGGATAAATAAAGTATCTATCTATCTATCTATCTATCTGTCTATCTATCTATCTATCTGTCTATCTGTCTATCTATCTATCTATCTATCTATCTATCTATCTATCTATCTATCTATCTATCTATCTATCTATCTATCTATCTTGATTCAAAATGAAAAGAAATTAGAATATAACAAGGACTGATTTACTAATTAAAAGTTATAATGAATTTTTGAATGAGGTCAGAACCAATAAAACAACTTTAACCTCTAATACTGATGGAGTAAGTGGCACCGATGAAATTGTTAATCTACGGCCGAAGCTTTATGATTTATTTAATCGTGTGCAAAGCAGAAAGTTGAGCCTGCTGTTAATGATGTTGACTTCATA